GCTGCATCATTCAACGGGCATAGCAAGATTGTACAAATGCTTCAAGCAGTAAATCTACCTGCAAAGCGGACACCTTATGATTCCACTGTTAAAGATTAAAGATGTCTTGATACACAAAGTATACGTCTTAAACCCGCTTCAGTTATGCTTACCCTTGTGTAAACCTACCGCATAACTTTTTCGGTTACCTAGCTCTTCTAAGCTCTAGATGACAACAATATTTATCGTCTAATAGTACACAGTGAAGTTCCTTTTGTCATAGACTTTGGCACAAGATATGCTATCCAAAACCTAATCGATCAAAGGCGCTGGATAATAGGCACGTTCTAGTGATGAGGTTGAGCCTGCGAAAGTCCAGCCAAAAGAGGAGTCTCCAACCTTTCTCGCAACATCAAGATTGATGATGTAAACGGCCCATCGCTTGGGACTATGAAACCTTCTGTAAATTGTCAATGGTGTACTCTCTTTTCGCTTCTAGTTCCTCTGCATTCATTGTTTAGCGGCCCCAATTCTCCCCTGCAGGGCGGAAGGCTATCCCCAATTCCGTCTTCGAGAAATATCTGCCAGGTCATGGTAAGATCCAGGCGGAACTCGACCTCAGCTAGTTTATGTGATGGTTGGCAGATCAGATAGAAAGATGAAGGGAATCAATCCTTATTTGAGTCCTACGACTAGAAGGACTAAGGTGGAGAGGGTTGGAGGGCTAAAGGTGTCGATTGGGGAATATGAAGCCCCAGCAACCTTAGCCCTGAGCCCTTCCCCAGTGCCCTTGATTCCTAACCCAGCAAACTATGTACAGACTACCTATCGTGGAAGGTTATATCGGAGTTAAATGGCTGTGCTGAGCGCAGTCTCATCACAATTCTCTTGCATCTGCAAGACCTTTTGCATTTCCTAGCTGCTCGAGTAGCAGTGCGGTCTACCCTTTCAGTATTTGCATGTGTTTAGTGGTTCTGACTAGCCATAGTCTATTTAGGGGTTGATGAGCATATATACATTTTAGGGCTTTTGGACTTTTTCGGGTGGAGCAGTTAGGGAAGGCAGTTCCCAGTGCAATATCACGTCAACTGATAGTATGACCAGGTTCTCTTTAATTACTTCAAAATCTTTCTTTTACTAGGCAATGCTCATAGCTAGTCTGATGCTGATCGTACACTAAGCAGTAGTCTCCTCCACCACGGTCATATGGATTCCGCTGCCAGTAATCATTTTGTCATGGAAACTGTCTCATATTCTTTCTGGGGTGCATCAAACATTGCTAAGTAATCTCGTCCCCTTACACTGGTTGTGCTCTCGGCTCATAGAACAGGATGGATTGCTGCTGATATTGAATCAGTAAAGGAAAAAAAATTAATCATGAAGGAGATGCCTCACAGTTCTTTATAGATACTGAGGTTGTTCAAAGCTCGGATTCTTCATCGCTAGCTCTGTTATCATAAATGCGCCTTTTGGTATTCATAGCTGACTGAGAGTCCACAGTTCCCTGCTTGCGCTTCCCAGTTCTAGTGTCAAAAGAACGGACGTACTCCCAAAGATCGGCCATAGGTGACTGAGTATGCTCCGTCTCTGTAAATACAAGAACCAGGGGCAGACCGTTGATACGCTCTATAATATCCCTGGAGTTGATTCGACCACGAAAGGTAGCAAAATAGTGATTGTTCTCGAATTGACCAATGAAATTTCCCAGATGCTTATGGAGCTCTGGGTCCTTAAGCAGAAATTTGCAATACTGATGATTCTTGAAGAAGTAGAATACTGACAACTCTGTGTTACGGGATGCGTTCCAGGCGTCCAGAATTTCTTCGGCTCCTCGGCTGTGAGAGATATGTGTGAGTTGATTCAGCGGCGCGATGGAGGTCTCATCTTCAAAACCCTCTGCCATCGGTGCTTGCTTCACGGACACCTGAGTCGGATTAGGAATATCCAACGCCATATCGTTTCCTGTGCCAGAATCGCGTGCCGAATATCCATTTCTATCTGGTGTTCCCGAAGGTTGAGGATCGCATGCAACAGGTGACGAGACAATGTCACTTTCATTTTGACGAGGAGTTTGCGGGTTATTTCCTACCCTCCGCCATATAGGATGTGATTGAGAAGGTAATATTCCTCGACCAAAGAAGCTGAACATGATGTCTCGCAGCACAGCGAATGATGTTGGGTACTTTTTTGCAAGCTGTTCCGCACTATAGACCTGGAGAGCAAATAAAAACCGGCGGTCGTTGCAGTGTGCTTCCCTCTGTGGTAGTCCGCACCGCTTGTTTGCCATGAGATTCTCACTGTCGATAGAGAAAGGCGGAACGACAATCTCATATCCATCCCTTTTAGGGAGCTTTAGGAGATCGACAACTTTTTCCGGAGCTTCTTCCTCCCAGCGCGGAGGGTAGATATATAACTCCTGAGGACGACGGCCAGTTAAGTATGCTCGAGCATTAGGTTTTATGGTTGAGCTCACACAAAGCGAGCGAATCTGAGGCGAATCAAAACCCAATTGCTTTGCCAAGATGGCAAGTTGATGAGCTGACTCTGACGGGGTCGCTCTATACACATAGGCATCGTCAGTGCGTTTAGAGCCCGGGAGGCTGACATCGGTCAAGCTTTCTATGAAACGTATCGAGAACAGCCACAGCTGCACGTAGGCAGCGGTAGAGACATTTGCTTGAGACACGAGCGTCGAATGAGACTGGTCGTCAGGTATGGTCTCGAAGGCGTTCTCTGTAACCTGAACGGTCCATGCATTGCCAGTGCCGTTGAAACATCGCATGAGAGCATCCCGCAAGTCTCTACAACCACGCTGAACGAGTCTTTTCAAGGACTTAGCGCAAGGGTGTAAGATCAGTGTATCCTGGACTAGTGAATGCAGACTGAGTATTCGGCCCTTCCTGTCTAGAAGGCTGCTTAGCAATGTGGCTCGGCGGCTCTCATCTGCCACCAAAGGGAAGAGTTCACCTGCATTCATTAACAGGGTGATAAAGTTTGCATCTTCTCTCATCTGGGGCATCCGATTCTCTAACAGACGCACAGAAGTGACATCAACATGCCCAGGTTCATTCAGGAATAAAGGCGACCAAGTATTATAGACGATATCCAGATAGTGGCATATTTCCTGCAACGGCGATTAGATATCTTATCACTTTCCCTGCGGTGGAAAGTTCTTACTGTCGGAGAAGCACACTCCACTAAGTGCTTCAGAAAGTTGAAGGGGATATCAGCCCAAAGCCCTGGATAAGGGATTAATCGTCTTAGGCCGAGTGCGATGTGTGGGTATCTCTTCTCTAGCCTCCTCAGGTCTTCCATTGCGCGACTGGGCATCTTGGATTCCCAAAATGCAATTTCTCTTTCATCACAGTGAGATAGCCTGCTGTGCTGAAGGTTGCGAAGGATATCCCCTGCACTGAAATTATTATCCTTGAGCGCACAGAGACGGCGTTTGAGAGGTTCAGAGAGGCCTCCTTCAGTTAGCTTGCCCCTGCAGGACTATTAATCCCATACATACTGTCATTATAAAGATATACCGTCCACCAACGGTCGCCAGGGTATAAAACGTCCTTTGCAGCCTCTATACGGTGCTTTCCGTACAAGCACTGAAGCTGGTAACCATGTGGCAACAGCAGTAGAGGTGGCTCAACTGCTCCTTTCAGTTCTGCTTCAGTGATCCTTGATTGGAGCATGGCTTGCTCCAGAACCTCGTCGCTTATGACAGCTGAGATAAAGTTGCTGGGTTCTAGCCGTGCGCACTGCTTTAATCGGAAGGTTCTTTTCAATAAATCAACATTTTTATTGTCAAAAACCCTTCCCCCGAAGAGCATTAGAGGGAATGACAAGTGTTCAAAGCTGACTTTAACACAACCACGAAAGAACTGTGCTAGTTCTTTCACGCTTTCATCTTGGTTAATATCCATGGCTGTTCTTTTGGATACCCGGGTTTTGGAGGGGTGTGTTAGGGTTAAAATAGCCTTCCCTGTTAGGCTGGTCATCGTTCTTTACTGTTTCAAGTCATTACCTAACAAACTTCCTCTTTCTCCTTAGCCCTCCTTAGTAGATTTCCCTCCGCACCGGTCTGCCCTCCGTACTGGTCTGCCCCCCATGCCAGACTTCCCTCTGTACTGGTCTTCCCTCCGTGCTGGTCTGCCCCCCATACTAGTCTTCCCTCCTTACTCGTCTGCCCTCTGTACTGGTCTGCCCCCCATACTAGTCTTCCCTCTATACTGGTCTTCCCTCCTTACTGGTCTTCCCCCCGCACCGGTCTGCCCTCCGTACTGGTCTTCCCTCCGTGCTGGTCTGCCCCCCATACTAGTCTTTCCTCCTTACTCGTCTGCCCCCCGTACTGGTCTGCCCCCCATACTAGTCTTCCCTCCTTACTCGTCTGCCCCCCGTACTGGTCTGCCCTCCGTACTAATCTTCAGGTAATCAGTTCGCTAAGTAGTTCGGGTTTGTTTTACTCGACTATGATGGGCAGAACGGGATTGATGGAACAGACTTTACTGCTTACTCTCTGCAACTGCTCTCATTTAATACTTTAATAGCCCGACATTATTACGTTATTCGACTACAGAAGAGAAAATGAGGGAAAAAGATGGGCTTGGTTATTCAACTCCTCTATCTCTGCACCGGAATAATATTCAGGCAAATGGGCTCCACTGACGTATTCTTTTTAGTCTGATAGCTCTCCAATGAGTTGGTGACCAAGAAGAATCATGACTCAGAGGACAAGCAGCAGAGGAGCGGGAACACAATGGCTCCTCAGTTGCTTTCCTCGCATTTGGACGCATGCAAACGGTGACCATCATTATAATCCTGGATTGAGCCAGAGTCTGTGACAAGTGAATACACGTGTGTTGTGACAGTCCATAGTTCCATTCCGAGCAGTGTAGCTTTCAAGAAACTTAGCGCATGATGAGTTACTCTTCTGCCTTGGAAGAAACTCATCGAGTTCTAGGGTGACTGAAAGATCAAATTGCTCTTGGCCCTGCAGCGGCCGTCTAAGCTGAAAACTGAGCGGCCGGTAGTAGGTTGAAATGTTTTTGGCCAGATTTGTAGAATCAATGACGGTTGAAGAAGGTCTTCCCGTACAGTTAGGGCTATCCCACACCCTCACCTCTATTGGTTCAAAGAGAGCCTAACCCCTTAGTAATCTGCTTACCAAAGATGGCTACCTACTTACCTGACAGCTCATTTGAGAGATGAAGGTAATGAAGAAAATCCCAAATAGTGCTTTATTACCTGGCTGCCGCATGTCTCTTGAGTGCCGCTATCAACCAAGGCTGAAGTGAATATTAAGAACCGTCTATCATATACCGGCTAACATGAAGAGAGGGGGTCTAGTGTCCAGAATATAGCATTTAACTTCCTGTTAGAACTTCAATACAGTGAAATACAACCTGGTAATAGAGTGGCGCTGTTTTGATACGTCAAAAATTAAGCGGATATATATGAGCAGGGCACCACAAGCTGAATGTTGATGAAATATACCATACGAACACCGGAGACTATAGTGTATGAAACAGTAATTCATGTTCTATCGAATGGGTAACAGGTTCCTGAGGATGCCAAGCCCTGTCATAAACAACTGCAACAGCTAGTAATTAATACAACTCATTCCCTACCAGCAAAATCCTATATGAAGGCCACATTTTGGGCATACTAATCATCTAAACAAACTCACAATATTTCCTAACAGGGTTTTGAACCGGAAATGATATGCCTGCTGAAAGCTTTGAATTATGTACTTAAACTGAACATTCTTGCAGCAGAAAAGGTATGTTCCATATTTCTAATGCAAATAAGAGACTGACAAAAGCGGAAGCCTACAATCAAATGTGATGCTTACAGCGTTGGTTTCAACAAGGACCACCTTATGGTGGTTACTGAATTCTTGCAAGGGCATGGCTTCGAACATATGTACGCCCAGGGATGTCATAATGTCGCCACGCTATATACAACAGCAGTCTATCTCTGCAATCCTGTAGGTATCCCACCACGACAAGGTCAGAATCCTAAACTAATGCCCCACCTGAACCCTGAACCACAAATTGTTCATACAGATGAAATAATAAGATACTTGGCGCATGGCCTGGCAGACTGCTCAAGTCAAAGGACTGGTATAACAATAACTGTGTCACGATTTTCCATCCATATCACACATCCGTTGGAGGGCCAGCATTTGAGATGTAGCAAAAATAACCCGCCATTAAGGGACCATATTCTGTAGTAGAGGAGGGGGTGTGATTATTGTGGCTGCACTATTTGGTAGGACAAAACGAAGCTCAGGAGCAATCTCTCATTGCCGCGTATGAAAGATCTTCAAAAGGTCCTCATGAGCTTGATGTAGCCTTTGGTCTAGTTTGATGACCTTTAGACTGTGACTCGTAAACGTGTCCCGTAATGTAGATATACTGTTAGAATTTGCAGCATGCCCAGCGCCAGGGCAAGAGCTATCTAGATAGTACCTAAGCTATCCTACAAGCAAATGACTTCGACGCATAGTCCACCATACGACTCCTCCATCAACTCTTTCTCTTCGAGATTATTTCGGCTTTCTGGGCAAAGTGTGCATAGTTCGCCTACATCATCAACCAGCAGAGCTGGAACCTTATCCTTGCTTTCATATAACTTCACCCAATGTTTCAAAACAGCCCAAGGTCCCATCTTGATTGTAGATGTCCTCATCTAAAATAGTCAGAATTTGCCTACACGTTCGCGCTAACAGTTAACTTACCCATATCATGGAAAATTCGAGTAGATTTGGCGCCTTTGCGACCTTTCACTGTTTGCAGACATGACAGATGCGAGCCCACCACAGAACAGCGCCTAAAGAAAGGGTCTGAGAATGCTCCTCCGCTATCAGCTTTTAGCAACTGCAATTTTGCGTCGATATCAATGGTCGAACCTTAGCTCTGCTTTAAGGGTAGACCCGTTATTGCCATAGCAAGAGTTTAGATCTAGCTTCGAGAGTTGGGTGGAAGAGTTCCTTCGGTGGCATTCCGCGACAAGGTAGCGTGAATCCTTAAGGGTGGTATCATCACACGACTTCGAGAAGTCTCTCGCGATGGCTAGGCCAGCAGCCATCATGACAATGACGAATGCTTTCATGGTTATAGTGTATAAAAAAGCAGACAATAATAATATAAGTGAGCAGCCACTGATCCTCTTCAATCAAGCCCCAAAAACACAATAGAAGGTGTTGTAGCACGTAGAGAAGCTCTAGATTTTGGGGGTCCTTGTCCACCGTAGCAATGGGGGGCGGGCAGGTTACTTAGAGAAGACCAATTCATGTTTGTCATGAATAAAGTACGTTGTACGGCATACATCGTCAATAGTAGTCCTATTTTTTTTACATTCACTTACTTACTGTCGTAATGTACCACAATGAAGCCTGTCCGTTCATTCTGTTTTATAACATTTACTAGAGTTACTTCACTAGGGCTTCTTGGTAATCTGCATTATTACATGTTCCAAGTAAGTTAAAAGGAACAATCCCCTGCACCCCCCAAAAGAGAATTAAATTAGTAATACCGTAATATAACCCAACCTGTGACTAATATGCTGTTCTATAGACGCGCCAGATTGATAGCCCAAGAAATCTTACCAGGTGCCCAGTGGTAATACTGACAATAGGCGAAGCGGGCAGTCTGTCTAGTAGACCAGTAATTTACGGCTAGCAATCAGGGAACTGTTTAGTTATGGCGGACGGCTTCTCGTGGCATTGAATCTATGCTTGCCACCATGCCATCACACACGCTATCAAGTTGGACAAACTGCTCTCAGTGGAAAAAAAGAGGCGGAAAATTGAAAGATCTAGTTGTTGCATCACTGGGATCCAAAGCATCCATCACAAGAACGGTCTCTGCTAATAGAGACTTGGTCCTGTACAGTCTAATATGCAAAGCCCACGCAAGCGTCATCCAAAAGCAATAGGTGACAATGATATCTCTGAGAGACTTAGTATGGCCTACAAGCGATTGTATCACAAACTCCGCTCGAAATTCCTGCGCTCCAGAAGGCCAGTAGTTGAACTCACAATTCAATGCTACGACCGGCGTCCGACCAACATTGCCATGTTTGTAACTTCGTGGGATGTATCTTGACGATAGTTGCAAGCTAAAGGTATTCCTAGACATTGTGAGGAGTGACACTGAGCAAACAAAAAGCTAATCGCACCCTGGCAGAAGATCTACAGAAAATTTGCTATGCCCAGGGGTCAATGAGACTGCTTGTTTAATGCAAGCATAGGAAATTCTTATGCTACAGTAAACCCTTGGACATTAGGTCTCAGTCTAGGTCAGCATAGAGAAAAGGACCATCAAATTATTTCCATCCGTTCTCGACCGTATCCCATATGACATGACATGATGTAAGACTCTTCATATCATCTCCTCTTCTGATCCCACGCGGCCCTTGATACCCCAAAGACTCAAGTAACGCTGTTCGGCCTCCTGAAGGCGAGTGTTGACTTTCACTAGAGCGTCTTCCATCTTGTAGAATAAGTGGTACATTTGTTCCTGGAGCTGAAGCAGTGCGCGTTTTGACTCCGCATGCCATGCTAACTCGGCCTTCAGGTAACTGACTTCATAAGCCAAGTCCTCAATCTGCTTCTTCATACTCCTCGGAGGTTGTGTCTTTTTCATTTGGAGGCGCGAGGGGAGTCGTTCAATATTGGAAGATGTACCACCGTGGAGAAGAATCTCATGATCCTGAGGTGTAATCTCCTCGGCGATTGAGTAGAGAGAATGGCGTTGATGATCCATGACTTCAGCAGAGAAGAGAACTTAGGCCAAGCAAATCCGCCGGGCTTATGATTAGCTTGAGCTTGGGTATGGAACGGACGACTTCCCGATTTAAAGTCGCAAGCAGGTCACGTACGTTACCTGACCAAAATTACACTACTAGGCAAATGACGTAGTTAGTGTTGATTTACATCTGAATCTTACGAGGTGAAAGAAGATCTTTGAGTGCCAGGGTTTGGCCACGGCATATCAGTTATGCATTATTGCTCTCGGAACATGTATCAAATTGCTAAGAACACTAAACCCAAAAGTCACACGGTGATAGAACAACCTCATATTAAGGCCCATCCTCTTCGTACCAGGTTCCTGCATGTGTGGTGGTTTCTTGAGAATTCTGAGGATTCTGAGGATTTCGAAGCAGTGTCTCAACGGCGTAATCGGTCTGTATTGCTGTAGAAGCCTCAATCAGATTTGCTGTGGGCCCAACTACAGTTGACGATCTGTCACTGCTGGAGGAAGAAGAATGGGTGTCATGGAACGCCCGCAAAGCTGTTCGTAGCGCCTTGATCGTTTCTTCGTGAAACCGGTTTGCCGCTTTCAGCTGCCCGACCTGCTCCTGTAGTCTCATGTTCTCAAGGACTATCTTATCAGTGTCAGGCTGCCTATAAGGGGAATCTTTGGCCGGGAGACTGGCGTCAGTCATCGACCTGACAAGCGTATCATTAGCAGAGAAGAGAGCTATCAAGCGGTACTCCAAATCCTGCGACTTCTTCCTTTCTGAAGCCAATTCTTGTCAAAGGAGGTCAGAATCGTCCGCATAACGTCGGATGGAAATTTCCAATTGATTCTTGGCCCACTGTAAGGTGGAAAGTCGTTCTTCCAACTGTACACAGCGATGGTGCTCCTGGCGGAGTCTGGTGCTTTCCTCATGAAGACGACATTCTAGCTGCCACTGATAATTCCTTGACACTTGCTCAGATGCTAGAAAGTCCCTAGAAAGCTTTAAGACGTCGTTTTTCCCGGCGAGCTGAGCTGGGGGATTCTAATATCACCAATCAGGAGAGAGTCTGTGGACGACATTTAGGTATCATACCGCTGGAAAGTTGGCTTGCGGAGGCAAGAGCTCCGCCGACGAATATGCTCCATTACTATCCATAATAGTGAGATGGACTCCTCTCGATAGGGAAGGGCTGTGGTCCTCAGAAAAGCGTGGGTTTGAGGACGGTCCAATGTCTCTTCTTTTTATAACAGGGAAGCCTCGGCTGCTGGTCATATTTCCATAACACATTGTTGCATTTACAATACACTCTTTACATTAAGTGTCAAGGATCGTCGGCAATCCGACAGGGGAATGAGAGAGGCCCAATGCGCATGCCGCGTACAGGGCACCCCAACTGTAGAATGATCTCGAATTCTGACAGTGAATTTTATTCTGAAATACACGATATGAATTGCATAATAAATTACAGAGCTTTGCTGTATTCAGAGCCATCCATTTACACAAACCCGAATTCGCCACTCTATCAAAGTACCGCACGTCGTTCGTTCGGCTTGATGGGAAACGCGCGCTCTGGGTAAATACTGAATCAAACCGAACCAGTATGGAAATGTGTATTATTTTGTTTCTCTGTCAATTGTGGCCTACTCTCCTTCCTCAGGAGAAGTAAACAGTGAACCCCTTTCCGCAGTCAAGTGTTCTGACCTGGATCCTCTTGTATGAGCCCCTTCTTCTCTAACCTGTGTTGATGCCTCGCGGGAAGACACAGGCCAGCTGCTACCCGGCCTCCTAGCTAGACGAGCAAGAAGAGGTCCAAACCGCCGCGTTATAAAGTCAACCGTTTTAACTATCTTGCTAATCCGCTGGCTCTCTTTATTAACCGTATCTGAGAGATTATCAATACGGTGATCGACACGGCTGGGGAGATCGGAAAGGCTGTTCACTAAGTCAGCTAGACTGTCGGCCCTCCTTTCCAGATTATTGAGCCTCCTTTCCATGTTCCCCAACTCGTCCTTCATTTCAGCTGCCAGCCGCAAGATCAAAACACTGTTTGTCACATATCAGTGGGCTGGACGACAGTAGGTAATTAGATGGTAGGCACTGACTCTGTGGCCTTGTTTGAGCGCGCAGTCCTGGAATTCCAAGAGTCAGTCATACGGTGTCTTGTGCTTCATAGTGCCCCGTACTAACCTGTCCTCCTTGGAGCTGGATACTTCACCTGGCGGATGTCCGGGAGAGCTCTGGTGGGATACGGATACAGCGTCAACCTGACCGGTGGCTGGCCTAGACACCAGTGTATCTAGAGTTATAGCAGAATGGCTCTGGGACTCCAACGGTTCCCGAGGGTCAAGTTGAGAGTAATCCAGCAACTCATCACCTGGGCCTGGTTCAGAAGCGCTGTAGTAAAGAGGAAATTGCGGGTATTCAAACATTATGGAAAGCGAATAGCAATGTGAGTTCTGAAGAATCATCAAGTGTCCTACAATATCTCCCCTTATAAGACCGGCTCTGGCAGTGTCCATTCTGTCCGCCAGAGAACGTCTAGATATTGATGCCGTGCCTTTGATCGGCTAAAACCTGATTTGATTGGGCTAGGTGATTAGCGTCCTGCGCCGCTCCAGCATGGCCAATCAATGACAAGGATGTGCATGTTATCAGTCTTAACACAATCTCAAGTGTGTCTCAGGATGCGCAACAGACTATGTTTTCGCGGTAGCTACATAAATTACCTTCCCACTAAGTTCATACACATTTCTAAAGCTTTGCGTATTTCAATGATAGTTTGTGTTCTTTCCTTATAGGTCCTTATCTTTGCTTTTATATGGGGTGAAAATCACCTTCTGCCTCACCCTTGTCACACTTTGAGTGCCAGGCGTCCTTGGCCTTTGATAATTATCTCTCATTGGCATGAACCGCTGTGGGAGGCTCTTAATACTTAGTCTTATAGTTAAGGATTCTGGACCGATGTCATGCGGCCAGCCCTTTGGCCCCACATTTAAATAGGAGGCTGGTCAAAAACAAAGGAGTAAGATGGGAGACAGGTGGGATCAGCATACACCCTTAACAATACACGGTTCTACACGCCATCTGGGGTGACGATGGATTAATTACAGGCACTACTAGCGTCTCCTGAGACAGGACTAGGGTAGGAGACTTGCGTCTTTCCCTCCTTATCATAAATACATGAGCTGAAAACGAGACTCCCAGTCTATGATTGGTCAATATGAAGACGAAGTGAATGATCAGAATAATGAGATGAAACCATCTTTGGTGTTGAAGCAAAGAATATGCCCCAAGTACAAGATAAAACAGATACCATTCCTCCTAACGAAGGGCAAGTAGGCTTGATTTGGCTTTCATCATGCGTCCCAGAGTTGACTCAAGTTGGCTTGACTTAGGGGTCGGTGACAACAGGACTTTTGTTGTCAGGGATCATGGTCAATTAGGGCACGTGGTCTCCGAGCTACTTAATCCTGGTCACCAGTATCCGATGCTATCCATTTTCATTGGCCGAAGGGAAAAAGATATCACACTTCAAGTTCTCTTCCCACACAATAATATTCGGAGAAGCAGGTCGACCGCGAGCATCGGTCTGCGAGCGGATATACTGACAGCCGAGACTGAAGCGCCTGTTCTATTCGCTGACGGAGATCTTGTGGCGCCTGTATCTGGTGCTCACTATCTTGGAAATCCGCCAGGAACAATAGACCATTCGGTTGCGTGGGGATCACTCTCCGCACAGAAAGCCCTACGGATGGTCTATTCCCGTCTGTTGTTCACGTTCGCTGATCTAGTCTGTATTTTTGGCGATGATTATCCGGATTTGATCGACGTAGCGCAGTTCCTGGTTGACTGCGTCCAAGCGCCACCAGTGTCCGCTCTACCAATAACCGTCCGGCCTCGAGTCGTAGTGTTGGTTCAGGGGCACCCCGGCGGCTCTCAGACCAACAGCGCCGAAATTAACTTTTTTAAAAAGTTAGGCGAGGCCGACGTCACCCAGATGTCGCAATGGTTCTCCGCTGTCAACCTGATCCACTTGGATGACCAAGCAACGGGATCGACAAAGTACGGGCGTCTAAAGTCATGGATCAGGAAATACCGACACGAGATCCAGGCTACTCGCCAGGAATGTTGGGCTAGGTACAACGCACTGCATCTGGAGGCCTTTTTCACATCAGCAGTGAGCTCTCTAGCGTCATGCACAGAAGCTTCCTTTGACTTCGTGCTGGCGACTCGCCAAGGACTTCCTGTAGCTCCCGGGTTAGACCATCATATCTCCCAGTATCTGGAAGTCGGGAGCCAGGCTAGATGCAAATCAGACACGCTGCTCTCAACTATCGCGTCAGCATTGCTTATGGATCATTATATTCCTGGCATGCCGTGTAAGTTGATTGTCCCCTGCTGTTCCCCTTTGTTCTTCATTCCGTCTTTTTCTCGGGTCGCCTTCCTTAGTTTCCCGTACCAACAATTGCCTTCCGTTCTGATTGGGCCTCTGGCGAGTCCTTGATTCCATTTCTTTGTTCTAATTTTGGAGTGCAGTTCTGGAGCCGCGGGCCGTTTTTCACACCCTGTACAGACAAGCCGTCAATCAGGCTTTCTGTGGCTTCCGTGGCTTCCGAGACAAAGAACTTGTGGGCGACCCCATTTCACAATTGGAGTCAAGATTTGTAAGCCAACTCCAACTCCTCGTGTCGAGGGGTCAGTCATCCCTGGATTTCAGGCGCGAACAACTCATGGCTCTCAGTCATGAACTGGGCGCGATTCAATCAGACAGGGTCTGCCTCTACTGTCTTGTTCGCCCAGCGCAGCATTCCTTAGCCTGCCATCATGCGGTGTGCGACGTCTGTCCGCAGTTGTTTGGCACTCCTGCTTCTCATGGGGAGTATCAATTCACGATGCCGTTCTGCCTTCTTTGCCTCTCACGCGCAACTTTGGATGTTAACATTCTACCTCCGACAATGAACCCCACCATTCTGGCGATCGACGGTGGGGGGGTCCGCGGAGGGATTCCGTTGGAGTTTCTTTTACTTATCCAAGAGTATCTAGGACCGGACTGTAAGATCCAGGATGTAGTTGATCTATCTGTGGGGTCAAGCTCGGGTAAGTGGACCAGGACACATTCGCCAATCTGAAGCGTACTTTTCCGTTAGAGACAGGTAAAGGCCTAGACTTTCTGACGTCGGTGGCAGGGGGACTAATTGTCCTTGGCCTGAATGCTATGGGTTAGGATGTCCCGAAGTGCTCAGATGTTTTTGACCGTCTCGCGCGCCGTGTGTTCAGCGAGCGCCGGCAACCAGCCATCTCCTGGGTGTTCCGCTTGATCCTTGGACGAGATTCCATCTTGGGAAATATGGCTAAGTGGCTGTCATGGCTTCTCCATGATAGCTGCTACAACGCCAGTATCTTTGACATTTGTCTTCAGGAAGCATTCGGAGAAAAACGTCGTATTTTTGATGCCGTCAGCCATGACTCGTCCCCCCGGTTAATTTCTCGATCAAAATTCGGGGTTGTTGCCGTGACTATCGCGAAGGAAACCAAGTCCTTTGTTTTTGGTAACTTCAACGCTGTTGACTGGTTTTCCAAAGAACGCGGTAAGAAAATTGTCCTTCACTCAAATCCCACAAAGCTAAGACTTTGTTGTCTTTAGGTTACGAGTTATTCAGAGCTAAATGCGCGAGCAGCGAGCCGTCCCTCTGGGAAGTGTAAGTCGCTTTGTCCAAGCAAGAGAGGCAGAGTCATTTTCTTTTCTAACACTCCTTTAGAGCCAGAGCCACTGCTGCAGCTCCCTTGTAAGTAGAGCCCACAGCCCTCGTGACCCATGACTCACAAGGCAAAAATAGTTATTTCTCCACCGCATACCTTCGCAATATAGGCACCTTCCAAGATGGAGGCCTCCAAGACAACTTCGCTGCGGGTATTGCTCGGCGGATTAGCCGCCGAATCTGGCCTTCTCGCTCTGGGATCGCGCGATTGATCTCCATGGGCACGGGAAGAGTCAAGAGTTCCCCTGACCGCTCTCCTCATTACCGTCATGTCTTCTATGACAGTTTCTTACGGCGCGGTTTCGATGCATGGATGTCTAACTTAGACACCCATTCAAAATGGCTTCATATGATGGATGAGGTGGACGACCGCATCAAGGAAGATTATTTGCGATTTGACGTCTCTCTAAAGGATATACCATCCGCTATCGACAACGCCGAGGCAATGGACGATTACCGAAACTTGGTCATCCTCCAACCTGGAAGCTCGAGGATGGCCCGACAGGCGGCTACGGCCCTGCTTATCTCTCGGTTCTTCTTTGTTGTGGACAAGCTGCCTCGCGACGCACCCAGTAGGCCTCAAATCCAATACTACGCCTCAATTCGCTGCAAGGGCCCAACGATGCCGGTTATTGAGGCCCTCCTACGTCTTCACTCGCAGGAGATGGAGTTCGTCACTGATACGACGACCCTTGGTAAGTTTCAGGGCCGCGAGGATATTTGCTCGTCTTGCAAGAGATACCGTAAGCCATTGTCAGTTGTCGTCGGGCATCCTGATGAAGTAATCAATATTTATCTACGCGTCGACCGGCACGAGCGGTGGCGGATCAGTGGATTCCTAAGCAGTATGTCGTCGTTTATCGAACAGCAGCAACTACAGAGTCCTTTCGGACGATCAGACCACGGTAAACCAAGCGCCGTGCCTTGTTCCAAATGCGCTAGTGGGGACGATGAATCTTGTAACAATCGGAAAAAACGGACCAAGGCGTCTATGGCGGAGGAGCCGGCAAGGAAACGAGTCTGTATTGCACGAGATGAACATTAGAAGGCCTAGCCTGGTGCCTTGTTAATACGAATGGAAAATTTTGGAAAAATCAGTTTGCCACTGCTTTTGTCAACCATGTATTCCTCCTTTGCTTTTTTTTTTTTTTCCTTTTGGATTTTTTGCTTTTTCTCCCTGCCTCTTGAGGCATGTTCCCCTGCGCTGGGCGCATGGGAATAATCTAGCATATTCTATAGTGTCCGACAGGTTGGATCGAACTCCACAATGACTAGCAGTGCTGCTACTTAAGGACCCCAAATCGGCGTAGTGGGCGCCAGATGCATGGCGCTCTTGACATCTGCAACCAAGATTCCCTCAGATATGGCTCTACCGCACACAGACCCTCATTTCATCAAGCTTAAAGAAGGAATTAGAACCATCATGCAGAAAGCATTTGAGCTGTTCCTACTCTGTGATTGCAAGGTCTACCTGCTGGTTGAACACCAACAAGATACCTTTGTTTTCAACTCAGAGGACTTTAGTTGGCCACCACCAGACAGAGAACTGGTAGGGTGCAAGCACCCGTTTCCCTATCCCCCTGCGTCCCGACTCCTTCCCTACCGGAGCCGCAGGCATGATCCTTTTCACACACAGCGTCTGACCCTGGTTGTAGGAAGTCCACTGCCGGAACGTAAACCGGCTGTATGGCTCGCAGGAAATTTATGCGCGCATCACTGAAGATGAACGCAAGGATCTTATCCAGTTGCTGATTTGTCTCAACGCTCTGGCGGCTGGTATAGCAAAGGAACAAGGCATACCTGGAAAATCAGCGGTACAGGCAAAGGCCATTAATCAGCCCAATGGGGTAGCCGAGACCGTATTAGACCGGTCTTCCGTGACAAGCGAATCAGAGGACGAGAATTTCGAGGGCGGCCTGTATCAAGACAATACAAGGGTTACAGAATAATACTGAAAATTACAGCTGGTTTGTCTGACCCACTTTGATATGCATGGCGATGGTCAGAGGTCAGATATATGGATGAATTTATAGAGTATATGTATAGTCGACTTGCCTACTACTCAGTTTCATCATCTAGATACATGGTTTGTGGATTCAAGTATGGAGCCAACAAAGATATACACTTTGACACTTGCATCTGCTATTATGTTCTTGTTATTATATAGCCTCCTCCGTTGCATTTCTCGATGGACATCTGCACGTCATGCCTGGTTAGGCTCATGGAGCGTTTACCACGTTTTCCTCAGGTACCTTGTCTATCCCAGGATTAGGTGGAGAGCCCTAGATTTAGATGCTCTGTCCCCTCTACAGATGGTCTTCTTCCTACTTTACTTTGTTGGCACGGGCGTCTGCAACATTGTCGGTGCAGACACAGTGCCCGAAAGAGGGACTCGAGCTGCCTACCTTTCCTTGATTAACATGTTCCCACTCTACTTCTCTGGTGGTCGCGAATTTGGTGCTCGTCTTTTGGGAACTTCCTTAAGGACGTATGGCTTAATCCACCGCATGACCGGCTGCATGGTAGTTCTTCAGGCAGCAATCCATATTGCGATGATGTGTCAGGTAATCCACGTTACCTTAGCGGAAGAGACAAATTTCTATGGATTTCTGGCAAGCTTAACCCTCTGTTCTCCGGCTTTGGTGCAGCATTCCTTCCGTTGACCGTTCGTGGGCTTGCTAACAGGAATGGCAGGCAGCTTGCATGCTTCTGTCGCTTGTGACACTCCCTCTGGTGAAGCAGCGTGTATACGAGATCTTTCTCCACACTCATCTCGGCTGTGCCACAATTGCACTATATGCGCTTTGGAGACATGTCCCTTCGGCGAAGATCAACTCACACGGTTATATATGGGCATGTATCGGAATCTTTGCAACAACCAGTGCGCTTCAACTGTCTCGCATCCTGTTCCGCAACATGGTTGTGGGAAAGAAATCGATCCGGATGAAGGCAAGTCGCCATGCAGAGGATATAGTTCGTGTTCAGCTGTACCTTTCCCGCCCGTGGAAGGTTCGCGCCGGAGAGAGGGTGAACCTGACTGTGCCATTCCTGGGACTCTTTTATCTCTTTCAGGCTCACCCGTTTACGATTACCTGGTGGGAGACCCGGGAAGGGGACAAGGCAGAATCAGTGTCCTTGATGTTTCGTGCCCGAACGGGCTTCACCAGAAAACTTCTTAACCACGTGGAGCCAGACCGTGAGTACTGGGCTTGGATTGACGGGCCCTTCGGTCCATCAACCGTCCTTGGTTGCGGTGTTTCCAAGGAAGTCGGCGACTACGGCCACATTCTGATGGTCACAAGCGGGATTGGCATCGCCGCGCAGCTTCCATACATTAAAGAACTATTGGAAAGGCGTCGCAACGCCGAGGTCTGCACGCAGAAAATATCCCTTGTATGGCAGCTGGATCGAACAGGTGACTGGGAAAGTGCCCGAGATTGGCTACAGCAACTTGTCAAGCAAGATGCAGGTTACGTCAGTAGACTATTCCGCTTCTTTCCTACAATTCCGAGCCTGACTGATCAAAACAGATGCTAAAAGTTGTTGTTTACGACCCGTTGAAAGCCAACCCTATGCAAGAGCCCTTGACGCTCGGTCAGCACTCGCTCATTACTGTTCACAACGGCGAAGCGAACTGGAAAGATGTGTTGGTGTCAGAACTGCGGCGCCGTGCTGGTACAGTTCTGGTTACAGGTAAGCATTTAATTCCGTTCCTCGCCAGAGATGAATCCTCATTAGAGATAAGTTCCGGGTGTCCATTATTGACAAATGGCTAGTATCTGCTCATCGCGGCATCCGTCGGGTAATCAGGAAACTTGTTACAGAGAGAGTGCCGTTGGATGTCGAACTATTCAAGCTAGAATTTCAGCCTTGGCAGGAAAAAAGGAATTGGTTGTCGTATTTTACTCCGTAATTTACGAGGGTTTGTTACTAGCTGTACTCAATTAAGAGCGGTGGGTCGCATGTGCCTCTATACTAGCAATGAGACGTACACATATTCAAAAGGAAGCCTCACAAGAATACAAGCGAATGTTCGTTACCATGCGTTATCATCCGTCACATTTATATAGGATAAGGGTTGGTATACTCGGTTTAGAATGATTTATGGTCACAAGGTTATTATGCGTCCAAAGCACTCAAGGCAAACATGGCTGTGAAAGATAACCATATACTGAAGGATAACCATAACCAAAAACGGTCTGATTGGAGGCTCATTTGCCGTAAACGGCTTGCTCATCATATCGGTATGTTCACCATCTATCTATGACCGCCAAGCACTAACAGACCTCTTACCAGCTGAGAGCCTGGGTATCCACATCAAGTCTTCTGATGTTCGACTGAAGGTAGAGGAAGGCGCCCCCTATGCCTGGCACATTGAGGATCCTTCACTAGAACCTCTATTCAACAAGCAGCTCAGCAAGCACTCGGTGGGTGTATACATGCATCTATGTGCCGAGGTAGGCCGTTCATTCTGGGCCATTCGGGCGGATACAGCAACTAGTGTAAGTACTCCCTACTATCTTCCAAGACCATAACTAACAGTCTATATACAGACGGCGCGAGACCCTTCGCTGGATGAGCAGGTCAAAGTTCTCCAGAGCAAAAACACAGTTCTGTTAGAAGAGTTACAGAAGGCTAAGCATGATGTGCAAGAGCTACAACAGCGAAACCAAGCCCTCGGAAAGAAAGCAGAGGACATGAAAGAGCTTCTTAATTCTCGGAATCTGATTATTGATGGTTACGAGCGTGAAATCCAGAAATTGAGATCAGAAGCTGCCGTTTATCAAGCAAGCTGCCTGCAGTGCTCTGAGGCACTGAACCAGGCAACCTTTTTCCTGCAAGGCCTCCATTCTGATATCGCGGCCTCTATACCCGGGATTCAAGCAATGACTCCTCTGTAATGTCTTCTATATTTCATTGTGGATGAAGATGTGGTAGACTTGCATAACACATAGTAATAAGTCTTCCGAAATATACAACTACAAATGAGAAACGTAGTTTTGCCAGAATTTGTCCCTGACAGTCCGCTTGTGACTTTCAAAAAAAAGAACTAGGATAGACGTTGTCTGCTGGTTTGGTCAGGCCCCAGCTGACCGAGATGGCTGGCAATGCGGTCACCAAAGCTCGATTGTTTCATTCCTGGAAAAGACCCAATTGTCATGTCAGACAGCCAGGTGATCAGCATGATGACAAGGGAATTGACTGTAGCCTAAAGAACTTTACATAAATTCATAGGCATAATTACAGGCACAGGTGGTCTAATGATTTCAGCACATAGACGCCGTGAGTATGAAACGCGCATTGTTTTGCCCCCTGTTTCACCTACGACTTACTGGATTTCTCGAAGCAAAGCTCCCATGTACAATTATCAAAACAGTGACAGATTACAAACGAAAGGTTGTAATTCATGGGTAAATTACGTGATCTCGAGCTATTCTTGCCTGTTTATTGTGTTTTAGGTTGTGATTGAATTGCTTTGGCATCAACTAACCTGGCGCAGAAAAACTGTTGTCGCAGCAGTCGTACAACACTTACATGACAAAAATGGAGCTCGTACTTAGCAATATACGACTCTAATACAGGTATTATTACCAGTAATCCCCAGTGGCTGTCATCTGAAGCTGCGGTCCGCCAGATTGATGTCAAACTGGTCGGGCGAGCTATTTAAACTGTACATGGTCCGGTGTTCAAAGTCGATAGCTGAAGGCCATCTCCCAAACTGACTCACATAATCCTTTGTTTGTGAAATAGTTGCTGTCTTCAAAGCTACAAGCATGGCCAGTGCGACAAATGCAACCAATCCTGCGCCCCCTGTCCCCCAAAATGGGGAACGAAACAAGAGAAGAGAAGTCTCTCCATTGGAAGCCACTTCGTCCTGGGTCGTTGATATCATTCGAGAAGCCGCAGAGAAGCCGATATATGAGGAGCTGAAAAACGGCTTTCTCCAAGGCGAACCCGATATGGGCCGAGCGCGTGCTTTCTTCCAGGAAGTGAATCAGAAGATCCGGCAGGCCAATCTACAACACAATGTCGACGAGACGAGGGGTGAAATACCCCCGCTTACTTACTTTAACCTCTACTCATCCTATAAACAGGCTCTGACCAAGGCAGAGCTTGAGCAGGATTCTCAGGCTGCTTGGAAGGCGTACGACGAGACCCACAAAAAATTCCAAGATTTCAATAATGAACATTATCTACCCGCGGCCTGGAATATCACTTCACTGCTGGTCGAGAGGAAGTTCAGCCCCAGGATTGTTGAATCGATCGAAACCAACAGCGATGCTAGTGGTGGTGCCCCAGATATCCAGAATGGTAATAACACTGGTGGTGGTGCCCCAGAAACCCAGACTAGGAACAACACTGGTGGTGGTGTCCCAGAAACCCGGGATGTGAACATGAATGACGATGACGATGAGAATGAAAATGGCGTTACCGAACTCGAGGAGCTTGAAGCCGTAGTGAAAGAGGAATGGGCTACACCGGGAAGCCACGTGCTTTACTGGTGGAAGAAGGGCGTTGGAACGCAGGTCTTTGTCCGCTACGGATCTGGTCCTAACGCGACATACCGAATCCGCGCGGGATCCTCGGAAGCGTACGACCCTGAAACAGTGCCTCAGGTTCTCCAATCCAGAAGCGAGCAGAGTGAGGCTGGGAATTATATTACCGCCCGCGGGCGTGAGAAGCTACACGTCGAGACCCCCGAAGGCAGGATAGTCGAGCGGTGGAAGTACGACCGTACCCACGTCCAGGGTATCATCGGAGTCGGCTGGAAAATGAAATATGATGAGGAGGATGAAGATGATCTGGAACCTCTGGAGGCAATATTTCCTAGACGCTATGTTACTTATCCTCAAACACGGACCTTGATCAAGTGGACAGATGGAGCGGTCACTTTGGAAGACCGAGCATTCGTCCGCCGTATTACGAAAGGCTCAGCTCTCCAAGGGGATAGAGTTATCTACCAGAAAGCACTGGACCAAGAGACCCGTTACTGTAGAGCTGCAGGACTGCCACTTCCTGGCACAGCTACCGCTCAGGCAGAGGCGGAGGAGGCTGAAAGCGTTGACGACGAGGAGGACATTGTGGCTCGTGGAGCAAGCAATAGACGTTCAGCAACCAGCGAGGTCCGGTTTGCCGAGCCGCCTGCAGCTTCAACCCCCAGCAGAAGTGCCGGACCCACACCTAGCCACAGACAATCTGCACCTCGTGAAGATCCAAGAGATGCCGAACTCCGTGAACTGCGTCGGCAAGTGGACCAATTGCGGAGACAGGTTGCCAAGTCAAGAAGTCCTGGCAGCTACCCTGTCCGCCAAGTAAGAGAGGACAGCGGATTCTACGACGGCCGCTCCAGCGTTTCCACACCTGAAGCACCACCTAGGAGGACCTGGGAGGACTATGGAAGACGGGTTTCAGTCCGCCGACGCTAACTCATAGCTTCTCCCAACCAATGGTTTTTATTATTTTCTGGACCTGGTTTCTAAGGTAGGTGAATATATGGCTTCAAAGTCTGTCAATTCTGTTCTGTTTTCTTCCCTATTGGGCTCTGGATACGTTGAATCTTTTGGGCTGGTCCATTCAAGTGTCTAGACTGTTCTTTCTGAGCTGCTGTGCTCACTTTCATTCTTTGCCTTCAATTTCCTTCCCTTCTTTTCCTTCCCTTCTATCCATCCCTCCCCCCACAACATTTAAACATTAAAAAAAAAAAAAAAAAAAAATTTCCCCATAAATCAAGATAAAAAATATAGAAAAAAAATACAAGTTGGTTTATTTTGTCTCAGCTTTTCTACATATTTACCATGAACTCACAGCAGGACTCTTGTAATAAGGTCAATGATACGTGCCCCACTAAGCAATGACACTCTCTTTACAGTACATAAATTACATTTGATACTGTATTACCGTGGCTATGATAGCTGCACGCATATTTTATTACAATAATTTCTATTTCCTACATGGACAGTGTATATAAACTAGATGACTGCGAAATAGAACCCCTTGTTCTTATTGATATGGCCTGAATCTGCAAACAAAATGGAGCGTACTCAAGGATATCCAGTCAGCTTATTGAATTTTCCTGTGGAATTGCTGCATATTATTATTTCTCACATACCGGACAAACTCACATTAAATCATCTGTCAGCAACCAACAAGTTGTTCCGAGTTTTATGTGCTCCTCACCTTTTTCAAACTCTCAGCATCCCATACTCAAAGGCAGGCTTTAACTGCTTGTTAGAAGCATCGCAATCATGGATCGCACCCTACGTGAAATCTATCTCTTATGAAGCCTGTGAACTGGTGGACCCACGTAAGTCTCCCAGCAAGACGCCAGTACCAATCACTGACCCATATAATTCCCCAGTTGCTATGGACTGGGACACCTTTCGATCATGCCTATACACTTTTGCTGAATATGCCCGTGACAGAAGAGACCTCTGGACGTCACGAGGTCGTGGAGTCACTTATGCGATGGTATACTCATACTTTTGTGCGCGATCCCGGGAGCAGCAGGAGATCCTGCGAACTGATCGGGATCTAAAAGCACTGTGTGCATCTCTTCCGCGTTTTGCTAACTTGAGAGCCGTCCATATGCGTTTTGGAGACGGTATTCCGCCGCCGTTTCGATGGTTCTCTGGCCGTGTATTGCTGGACGGCCCTCTTTCTTTCGGTAGCCACCTTGAGAAGATGGCCACTGCGATGATCGTGGCGAAGGAAACCGGTATATCAATTTCTGAATTCAGAATAACCGGATTCTATCCTCGTGTCGCTTCAGAGGACCAATGTGTATGGGGCTTGACTGCTGAAGCTCTTTCTAATGTCGAAGAACTGCAGGTCATCGATAGTCCGGCAATGATGGAGTATCTAGTGCCAGTTCCCCTTCCCCGTCTTCGTCGACTTGAGCTTGGCAGCTGCTGGCTGTCGTGCGCTCATCTCGAAGCATTTGTATACGCTCATGCGAGTACACTCCGCTTCCTCCATCTTGAAGACATATGGCTCCTGCAGGTACAGAATGATGCGGATGGTGTTCGCTTATCATTGGCAAGCGCAAAATCAGTGCTTCAAAGTTTAAGTCGAGTTCGGAGATCAGGAATACTACAGGAGCTGACCATCAACCGTCAACAAGCTGGCCATTACGAAGTGCATGAGGTGTTCGACAAGCCTGAGGGAATCTATTTCTCTTAACATGTTGTACTACTGTAGTTGTGCAGACTGATTCCTCTCCAGCAATATATGTTCGTTTTCATGGTCCAGCAGTAAAAATAGATTGCTCGCTTGTTCAACCCTGGTAGACCGTCTCCGCTAAGGACTATAGACATTGGCGCAACCTGATAGTCTGTAAGGATCTACCACCCTTTCCACGTAGGTCAGTTTGTCTCCCTTTTTAATGAGAAGTTCCAGTATCTTGTATGACCATTCTTAGCACCCTAGGACTACGGGTTGTGGTGTTATGCAATATCTCTGGAGCTCTTTCCTATTTTTTTGCACTTATGCTACAGTACGCTATGACCACATCTCAACTGCATCTGGTAGTATGGACATAGATGGAATTGAAGCTTGCATGGATGCTTAGATGATTAGCTTATATTATAAAATGTCAACAGGACAGCATATTATAAATGCTACCTGTACAATATTTCACTATGACCTTTTCTTTTAACCGATTTTCTTCCTCCCCTAATAAATTTTTTTTTTGATTTTTATATATTCTGTTACTTACGTGAAGTGATGTCTTAGCTCTTTGTAATTTAAACCGAGGCTAAAGTCATCATCCAACGTCGCCTTTCAACTTGCGAAGAATAGGGATAGATGGCTCTCCTGATTGTAGTGGTAAATCTACAATGCTATAAGGCGTTCGAGTCTCTCCGGTAATTTACAGGTCTAACTTCGCTTATCGAGAAGTAAGGGGTGGTTAAAATAAACGTTATATAAATAAGAATTATTCTTTATCTACCCTTCCTTACAGGTATTACAAGCATTAGTTATAATAAATATTGATTTAGATAAGAATCTTTTGTACTAGCATACGTACTAGTATTAGTAGAAGGGGCTTGTCATAGTTAACTATTACTATGCTTATCTACACAACTCTTATAATACATTAATAAAGCTCACCAGGTAGGTAATTTATTCTACTACTACTGACTAGTAGTATTTCCCAGTATTACCAGTTAGTATTGTAATCTAATATAGGTTTTACATACCTTGACCTTGGCCTATATTCGATAGGCAACCTGGCGAGCATAACCCTAACTAGACACCAGTAAGAGTACTGAAATTACCAGTTGTCCACCTGCTGAACTGTCGACCTAGCGGCCTGTAAACAATCCAGAGCCATGCTATAACCATACGGCAAACACCGTAATATTTCCGTATTTCAATGATCATCTACTACCTTAATGTAACTTACAACCAGGGTGACGGTGTAGATTCTCAACAATATATGTTCTAGAGACGGGCACTGCCTATTTAAGAGCTGCTTCCAACCAGCATGAGTTTATCAGGCAACTCGACTCTGAATTTGTTTATACCATGTTGTTCTTATCCAGTCTGGTAGTTATTGGCAGTTGGGCAAGATACTGCCTTGGTGATCCAGGGAATTTCTCAAGGACTTGTTCCAACATCACTTCTGTTGAAGCACCATTCATACTTTCAGCAAAATGTGTGCGTATGAACGGGACTCTGTCAGAGACAACTCTCAACATAAATGAGTGTTATGCGGTGTCAAATGACCCAGATGACCCGTATAATCGGACAGTTTATCCCGCAAAAGGGTAAAATGAGGGAAGTCTGTAGTGATGAGTGGGTGCTAATTCAACTTATAGGGGAAATGCGTTTTATGAACCTGGTAGTTTGGTGTCGATTATGGGAACTCAAGCCTGTTATGATTACCCTGAGGTTGATCCTGGATGTGTTGATCTTGGTCAGTATTCTTGTTTAGTTTTAAGTGGTTATCAATTACTAATATTAAGGGGACAGACGAAACAGTGCACAATTGGGATGGTGTGCTCGGATGTTTCAATTATCCTTCCCAAAGTTGAAGATGGTGAAGAACTCAAAAGCTATATTCCAGAAGTAGGTTGAACCTGGATTTCCTCCACGTTAGGTGGCAGTAGATAACTCCCCTCACCACTAGCAGCTTCCAGGAGACAGGTGATTACGTCATTTTGGATAGCTTTGTCTCCTTCTAGGTTGCCTGCATAGGAAGTATGCTTTTTGAGCATGCTCTCTTTGCTTCTTCTCATTCGTTACTTTGTAGCTAGTCTATTCTAAAGGTCACAAGTTTGCCCTCGATTCTCGCTCCAGAATTTAAATCTATTGGTAACGCCCTCAACTTATCAGGGAATGGATGGCCCATGCTGCTAATTCTCCCTTGATATAATATGCTCGACACTATAAAATGAGAAGGGTCCTGTTGAGTGATCCAAAATGGCCAAAGACACTGCTGACAAACTTTTCTGTGCTGCCTTGGGTGTCATGGTTAAGCCCCGCATCACTTATATTTCAGGGTACATAAATCACAGAAATATAGCCAAAAACTTCTGGAATGACTTTTGAAGAGGCTCAGCGTGGATTGGCCTAGGGCTCCACCAGCTGTAGTAGAAGGTTGTCAATATCAATATTCAATCATCCGTCAAAGAAGCGGAAGTATGAAAGGGAGGGTTCATATTTACATTTGAAATCATCATTCAGCATTCTAGCTCCTAAGGACATGCCACAAAGGCAAATCATCTTCCACAAATTATCATCCTACCCTGTGCTCTGCTCACCTAGCTTATTTCATACATATGGACTCCTTTGAAATGGGATCATTACTTAGACCAAAACCCAGCTGTGGGGGAATTGCAGCCTTCGACCATGTTTAATGACAGCACTCTGCCTACTGAGAAATGTTCATGAACTTCACTAACACTAAATACACAACAAGGCCCATAGCACCTACTTGTTCACCATGGAAACCCGCCTCCGCCTCCCCAGGACGGCGCAAATTTGCTAGTGCGAGCCCGCTCCTCCCGTCTCATGTCCTCACCGATATACTCCCACCAGTCTCGACGCCAATCCAAATTAACTAATGAGTACACCCCTCCTGTCTTTTTATGGGTAAATTCATATATATAGCCACGTTTGTTGGTCCGAACCCCGAGCATTGATACCTCCCATTCCGGCCTCAGTCTCCAATCTGGATAGAAAATTTTCTGGTCTATATCTGACTACATGGTTCCGGGGGGAAGATCCATTCGGAAGTTCTGAGAGCACTCTTGTCTTTCTCCTTCAGCAGGGATTTTTTTAGGAGGATCTTCCTGAGTAATTCATTTCTCACAGCTTTTTGCTTTAGCCCCATGATGCCATGCTATGCTTATTAGTGCAACTCCTGCATTGATATAGAAGGACTACTCACGCATCCAGACCTTTAAGGATCTCCCCATAATGATGTTTGCAGTGAGAATCCAAAATATGTTAAGTTACTTATCCCTAATCCAGTGAGAATGGTCCTTTGTTCTCTTGAATCTGGACTGATGGTCTCTCTATATGTAAATGGAAAGCAACTAACGTGAATTAAACCATTACGAACAACTTTACAGCAGGTACATCCTACGTCTTTTTCGGCTCCGCCTAGAGTGGTGATGTGCAGTGCTAAGGTCTGTTTATTACTACAACTCAAGGAATTTACAGAGATATTCCTGTAGTCAGATATGATTGTAAATTACGTCTACTATTTTACACGTAGATCTTAATTACGCCAAGTCTCTCATATCATGTCTCTAGAAAGTCGTTCTAGTACGCACAAGTAACAATTCTCGGCAGTGATTATGACCCGTATTGTTCCTAGAAGTGGATATTAGAATTGAACTTTGGCTATCAAAAGTATGTAGGCGGTGTAAATTTACAGGTAATACAGGATAAATTGCAGGCTTTGACTAATGTAATCTACCGACGTCATTAGATTCCCAGCAATTTGGCTCTTTAAAGCTATTTTCTTATTTTTACCGCGTCATTACCACGGAATGCTTAACCGACCCTGACCTATTTTTGACTGAGAGTCCTGTACTATAACGAAAACTATTGGTATTGCTAGGGGGACTCATGAAACCGGAGACAAAGCCGAGGCTTTGTCTCCACGCGAAGTGAAAGAGCTTAACCATGAAATACCTAGGTCTGTAATATGAATATAATGGGCTAATTGATATTAGTACACAGTATTATCTGACACTATCGCTTAGCGATGAAGAAAGTGTGTGCGCGGAATGCTACTCTCTTGAAGCATGAGTCTTTGTAAGTCCCGATGCTAAAAGATTCAGCCTTAAATAGGTGCTATGAGAGTAACATATCTCTGTCCTTTCCAAGAATAGCGTATTGGGTGTTGCTTTTATGGTCTGGATTTACTTACCATCCGGTGCGCTGATTTCACTTGATCTATTATTTAACTCTGTGCGCTGTCCATTTCTTATCATCCATTTAACTCTGATTACTTCCCCTTGTTAATTCATGAAAGTATCATAGGAAATAATGGATAAGGGTCCCAGATATCGTGACACAGTACTCCCGTTTTCTCTTCAACCACCACCTGGAAGCCTCGTCACGTACCAGGCAGCACTAGTATCAGAAGTTGAGGAAAATGAAGAGCACACCGCGGGGAGTCCTTCCAAGACTGAAAGTGACACCCCATCATCTCTACAGCCGAAATTGCTCCGCAAGAAGCGAAATGAAACTGTCTACCCATCACAAGATGTGACAGTGGCGAAGGAAAATCCAAGCCTCGGTCATTCAAATCGAATCAAGAAGACCGTTACGGAGAAAGAAGTTTGGCAGAAATACCGACGGTTCTGGGAGTCAGACCAGGCAGGCAAGGGTATTGTTGCTCATGACAACTCTATTGAACACAATATTATGGTCATAAAGAAATTCAAGATGCATGCAAGCAGGGGCCAGCATGAACAACTCCTCAAGGTCATGGGTGATAAACCTTCCAATATTGTCCGCATTCAGGACGTCTTTGTGTGCGACTTGTCTGTCTATTCCGTGTATGAATCGCTTGAAAGTTCCTTACACCATATCCAGGCAACCTGTCTGCAAGAAATAACCGAGATTGAGCTAGCAATAATTGCAAAGGAAGTGAGTCACCTTCTAAGCAGCTAAAGAAGACTGATTAACTAAATTGTAGGTTTTGCAAGGGATACAGTACATTCATAACGAGCTTAATATTGTGTATGGGCAGCTTTGTACTAGGAATGTTCTTCTTTCGTTCTATGACTGCAGTATCAAGCTGGGTGAGTTACTCACTTCTTCATGTAAAAGGAGCCACGTTAACTATATCTGATGCAGCAAACATTGCAGATTCAATTCTCAAGCCACAGCGGCAGTCCTATTCAGATGATATCCATGACATAGGCACACTATTGGTGAGCTTCAAGGAGCCTGGAACCTTTCGCCGCAATCCCAAAAGCCTTCTGCTAGAAAAAGATGATGTTAGTGAGCACTGCAAGCATTTCATTCAAAGGACAGCCACTTCATCATTGAAAGAGTTGATGAATGTAAGTTATCAGGCCGAAGCGGGGTTAACCAAGAATAACATGTTAATGTTTCAAAGCATGATTTTCTCCTTAAATCTCCAGGATCAGGTCGTCTAAGGATATTCATTTACCGGGCAATGGAATGCGCCGATAGATTTCCTGTGAAATTTACTTCATAAAATTTCGTGCATGTTTTCATTCTTAGTGGACTTATTATGATCATCTATTATGTAGATGCCAAACGCGTATCCTTTCATCAGATACTATTCCCTTACTTTTCCCCCGTTTCACTTCCCAGCGCCGCTGAAAGATGGTGCATCGCGGCCCACCTGGACGTTCGCTGGGAAAAAGGCAACGGCAAACACGACTTCAAGATGTTGAACAGCAGGGTGGGTTCAGGATGGAGGTAGCGATTTTGTTAACGAACGAGAATTTTTTAATAATCAAATAAGTCCCGGTATAGCCATATTGAAAGTGTCAAGTTCTCACTAGAAAAGGGCGCTGATGCGAACGAATATAGCTTCGATTCCGATGTGACGTTGCAGGCTGCGGCTGAAAGACAGCCAGAATTTGTCAGTTATGAAATCATGCCATATTGTGTCGGTCTGGAAGATGACTTTCGGCGAGGACCCAGACCTGCGTGAAGTCTCGCGCGCTTGTCAAAAGGGAAGTGTACTACGTCATGACACCCATCTGCGGTCGGTGGTGGCCGTCGGCTGCATAAAAGGACCATCAACCCTAGCGTCCTATGGAGGCTTAATTCGGAATATTCACTTGCAGAGTAATTATGATGATGCAATCACGGGCGCATTCTCCGATATACTTGATAAGATTAACGACCACGTATCTACAAACGAAGATATGAAATAGTACCGACAAAGAGTAGATTTCCTGAGCAAGAGAATTCCACAGATCTATCATTTGTGACAATGTCCGCTTTTCAGTGCGTAAAGGTCATTGTGTGCCCCCTTTCTCCCGTATGCTACGATGCTTGTAACTGGTACTTTTTAAGGTTCCTTTATCCTGCCTTGAACACCATACCTAGTATCTTTCAATGATCAGGTGAAGGAAGCGGCGACAAGGACTTATGACTGACGAGTCGAATACCATCGCAGAAATGCTCGAGTATCTTTAAACTAGTGGCTACTCAGGGCTTCCGAGGTAGACCGCTGAAGGACAGATTATACGAATCTCTCCCCTTCATTTACATACGGGAGGATTCGCTTTGGACGACAAACACTCTATCGCAAAGCTATGCGACACCGCCGCAGAAAGCAGATTGAAGCACGACTTCGATCCTGTAGGGATTCTGAATCCGTTCCATATGTTTATTATTCTCCAGTCGGCCTAGTTGAAACCTCAAAGCTGCAGTTCTTCAATTCTCGCGGGACAATATGGACCATGTTGTGCAAAACAGTCATATCCGAGAGAAAAATGATTAACTGCCGTCCATCACCAACCTACTTAAAGGACATGCTTGACACATACTTCCAGGCGCCGTTGCTGGGTGATTGTATGAACTGTTGGGTTGGGGAACACTTGATGGCTTTACAAGCAAAGTGCAGGGAATGTCGTCGAGGGAAAAAACATGTCTGAATATCAAGAAAGTATCTGGGAAGGGTTACATTAACCTAGGCTCAAAGTTGGACGCTTACTCTCGTACATTAGACCAAGACCATTTCGGTTTTGCACCATGTGACATATCGTCTTAACCAAACAGTCGTCGCGAATCAAATGGTTCAGTATTACGGCCAGCCCATGGGGTATGCTGCGTCCTGCAAGTCTGAGTGCGTGGTGGAAGAGTGTAGGTTACACGAAGATGACGCAAGCGCGTTAGGTGGCGGCTCACTCATAAATGCATTAATTTGCGAGCCCAATTCTCCGCGAGCACTTCCACCTCTCCCTTTTTGGTATCACCATAAGGCAAGTCTCGCCGCAAGAATTGTGGCAATGCACCACCTCTACCATGCTGCATTGCTCGGTCGTATAGACCTCGTGACACTATATCTTGACAATGGTGCGGACATCAATGCTCAAGGAGGCAAATATGGAACTGCTCTACAGGC